AAAACACCAAAGAAACCCCCCCCCCCCCAATCCCATAGAAATTAAAACCTTCATATGATGTTAGGCAGGGCTCTCTGGAGAGCAGAGCCCATAAGATGTATATTTATCAGAAAGGGGGCTTACTTACTAGATTCCCAGCAAGGGGCATCTGCACACTGGAGATGCAGAGAACCTGGTGGTTGCCCAGTCACAGATCTGGTTCCCTCAGGGACCTCAGTCCAGCATTAAAGCCTGGAAATTTCTGGGACAGTCGATGATGTGTAGTGTGTGTAAGAAGGCTGAAGAATCTAGAGCAGTGGTTCTTAACCTGTGGGTCTTCACCACTTTGGGGGTCTCATCAGATGTCCTCCATATCAGATACTTACAATATGATTCATAACAGTCTCAAAATTACAGTTATGAACTAGCAGCAAAAATAATCCTCCAATTGGAGGTCACAAAAACATGAGGAACTGTATTAAAGAGTCTGTCGCAGCATTGAGAAGGCTGTGAACAACTGTCAGAATCTAGGGCAGCAAGGGCAGCAGCCACAGAATATACAGGCAGGCTTTTCTTAGGATCCCTTAGTAGTACATGGATGCTATGTCCTCTGCCTCCTACAGACTACCACACACACCCATCAGTAGGATCCCAACACCACCACCCCCTTCCCTTCTCCAGCCTTTCCCATGAAGCATCCTGTCAGCATCATGATTGGCTATTTTTGAGCAAATGACAAAAAAATCCTTTGCTTCCTCTTCTTCTTCCTCTCCCAAACCCACAAGTATGCTAATCAAAACTCCAGTTAGATTTCCCTCTCGCTTTTCAGACGGACAAAAGTCTTATGTGGAAACTCTTCCATGTTGCTAGTTAAAATGAAAATGATAAAATTTCTGTATGGGGAAATATGATTCTCTCACTCTACGTGTGTTTGTGTGCACCAGGTGCATGTGTGTGCACTGGGGGGTTGTATACAGATACAGCTTTCACATAATTTCAGAACCAATTCAAGAGAAATGCCCGCATTTAAAAAATAATGTTTCTTTCCTAAGCCGAGCATTGCTGGTGCATGCCTTTAATCCCAGCACTTGGGAGGCAGAGGCAGGCGGATCTCTCTGAGTTCGAGACCAGCCTGGTCTACAAGAGCTGGTTCCAGGACAGCCTCCAAAGCCACAGGGAAACCCTGTCTAGAAAAACAAAAACAAAAAACAAAACAAACAAACAAACAAAAATGTAGCATAAAGTTTGGGAAACTCTTTGTAAATAGTACTGCTATAGATGGCAGTGAAAAGGGGATAAGCTCTCCAACCGTTAACACAGACAAACCTCTACTGGTAAATTAAAAATGCAAGGCTTGCTGGGCAAGGTGGTGCACACCTGTATTCCCAGCACTGCGAAGGTAGAGGCAGGCAGAATTAAGGACAGCCTGATCTACAGATCAAGTTCCAGGACAGCCAGGACTACACAGAGAAGAAGCCCTGTCTCTGGTGGGAGTGGGGTGGGGTTAGGGGGAAGCAAGGCATAGAGTACATTTTAAATATTATGTAAAAGTATTAGGAATATATGTTCACATTTGCTTATGAAAATACTAAGTAAAAACTAACAAAATGACTATTGCTTGAAAGTAGACTCTGAATGGATGGCGGGATTGTGTGTCTAGTTTGATCAGTGCCACTCTGATTTTTAATTTTAAACTCTCCTATGCTTTTATTTAAGATGGAAAATTATTTTTCTCAAATTGTATATTGTACTCCCTTTGCAGCAAAGAAAGCATACTACTTGTTAATTTTTTTTTATTTTACCTTGAAGTGATTTTTGTGAAAACATTCTATTTCTAGATCCATATTTATTCTCTTGGAATGACGTTGTATTGGGGGGCTGATCATGAAGTGCCTCAGAGCCAGGTAAGTGAAGCGTCACATTTGTGATGTTTTCATATTGATATGTTTACACTTTATACAGGGCCCTTTGGTGTGTTTGTGTGTTGTTCACAGGCTGCTCACATGTGTACAGTCAGAGCGAGCGTCAGGATGAACTAACAGTGAGTGCTAGTGAACACAGTTTGAAGTTTTCCTATGAATCGTAGCACTCACTGCCTAGGTTTCAGTGACCCAGCCTGTGAGGTGGGGCTGGGCTCTTCCAGAAGTATAACAGGTGAATAGGAGATTACTTTTATGTCTTACCATCTACTGATTTCGGAGCAGGATTTAAATGTCCAGTGTGTCAATCTTGCACTATCATGAGTGGGAGTAACAGTGTTGTCCCATTCTGTGTATGGTGGCAGCGGTGGCACCTCTGTCCCAGGCGGCCTGAGGTTAGGGAAGGCAGAAGGGGCTCTATCCCTGTTTCAACCCTTTGAGGTGGTGGGGAGCTTGTGTTAGTTTGGGGCTCTTGGTGTGTAAGAATCCCACTTCAGGGCTCCTGTAGTAGCAGAGACACATCTGAGGTTAACCCTTGTGTCTCGGATTCCGATTGCTAGGCCCGTTGTAGCAGTTCTTATTCCTGAGATCTCAATTCATCAAAGCTAAGTTGTAACATTTAGTATTTCACTTAGGGCCAGGGAGAAGACTCAGACAATAAATTGCTTGCCTCACAAGCATGACAACTTGTGTTCGGATCTCTGTCACATACATAAAAGCAGGGCATGATCAAGCATGTTTGTAATACTAGTGTCTGGGGGATAGGGATAGGCAAGTTCTTATAGCTCACTGGTCAGCCATGTGAGTAATGGGTGGCTACAATTTTAGTGAGAGAGCCAGCCTCAAATGACAGTGTAGAAAAGGATAGTGAAAGTCGCCCAATGCACACATGCACACACGTGTGTGCATATCTATATACTCACCCACAAGAGCATTCATACACACACACACACACACACACACACACACACACACACACAAGTAAAGGGAAGAAGAGAAGGGAAAAAATTTGGTTTATTCTAGTCATTTAGAAATACAAAAGCAGGTGTATTTTTTTGTTAAGTATCAGAAGAATTAAACACTTGAAGCTTTTTCTTTTCTTTTTCTTTTTGGGAGGGAAGTTTCAAGGCAGGGTTTCTCTGTGGCTTTGGAGGCTGCCCTGGAACTAGCTCTTGTAGACCAGGCTGGTCTCAAACTCACAGAGATCTGCCTGCCTCTGCCTCCCAAGTGTTGGGACTATAGGCGTGCACCACTACCGCCTAGCTACACCTCAAGCTTTTAGTCCAAAATTCATGCATCTTAAAATTCATGAGGTGAATGATACTATTCAACTTAGCTCAACCTAATTTACCTTTTGGAAATTTTTGTATATTTCTCTCTCCTTAGTTTCAATTCTATAAATATATATATATGAGAAAGTTAGTTGTTACTGGAGATGTTGATGGTTTTTTGTCATGTAAAATAACTCACACAAATGTAGCAGTCTACAGTTAACATTTTGTATTTTTTTCTAATAGTTGGAAATAAAGTCAATATCAATGATACAAAATAATACAAAATCATATTTTAATGATCATAAATTGTTTTAGAAGTGCTTAACATTGTTTTGCAAATATTTAATATGTATATCTTGTATCAGACAAAACACTGGACTTCAGGCCTGCTGTTGGCCATACCTGTGGTATCAACTGGAAAATAAAAAAACTAAATAGATAATTAAAATGTGACACAATGAATGCTCTGTTAGGAAACAGAAGAACATGGCTGGGTCTTCCGGTTAGACCCCAGACTTAGCATAGGTTTTTAAAGGAGATGGCATCTAAGCTGAGATGTCAGTGTTACCCGGAAGCCTTGGTTAGAGCTTAGACATGCATGGCAGTGGCTGGCCAGTATGTACTTTATTAGACTTGGAGTTCGTTACGTACGTATTTGGGGGTATTGGAGATTGAACCTAGGACCTCACACGTGCCAGGCAGGTATTTTACAGTGAGCCACATACCCAGCCCAACAGTGCATTTTCATAATTTTTATTTCTTGATTAATAACAAAGCTAACTATCTTTTTATATGCTTATTGGCCATTTGGTTGTAGAAACTTAAAAATTCATTTTAATTAACAAAAATAATTTCACCTTCTGCTTTCTGTTTCATAAGACTAATGAGACTCCCATTTCATTTAGCTGTTCTTGAGTCATTTAAATATCTGGACTTCCAATTTATCATAAAATATCAAATTTCATAGAGAAAATATATCTTGTTGAACCCTGGCTATTGAAACACTGCCTCTATTTCTCAGTATATTTAAGTAATTGAAGAATTCCACTTCTGCCAGACATGGTGGCACACACCTTTAATCCCAGCACTTGAGAGGTGAGGCTGTAGTCTCTGTGAGTTCAAGACCAGCCTGGACTATAGAGAAAGTTCCAGGACTTCACAGCGAGACCCTGTCAAACAAAAACAAAAACAACCCACCTCTTCTTTATCACAAAATCAACAGGTTTTCTGTTTTTTAAATCATATTTTATATCTAGGAAGACATGTTAACCTCCTTAAGTTAATATAGGTTTTTGGGTCACATAGGTGAGCAAGACATAATTGCAATAGAAAACAATTCATTTCCTCCAAGCATATGTTGTATTTCTGAGATTCTGATAAAGACTTTACTTGTGGTAAATCTACTTAGCTTCTTCATGTGGTTTTCCCTTTCACTTTAGCCTATCAAGCTGGGAGACCATCTCAACAGCATTCTGCTAGGCATGTGTGAGGATGTCATCTATGCCCGGGTGTCGGTACGGACTGTCCTGGATGCCTGCAGTGCCCACATCAGGAATAGCAACTGTGCGCCTTCGTTTTCCTATGTGAAACAGTTGGTAAAGCTGGTTCTGGGAAATATTTCTGGGGTAAGATACAGTTCTAACTTGAAAACAGTCATATTTTGAAATTCAGTAACATCAAGTTTTCTTTAAATATACAATAGCAGTTTTTCAAAAATTAAGTATAAAAATGCAATTATTATTTTAAAGTTCATTGTTTACTCCAAATAGTACTTTGAAATTTAGAATTCCATTGCAGTTAGTTTCCCACGTTTTATGAAAGCCATCCATTTTTGTAAGTACTTTATTCTAGAAAAGAGTGTAGTGTTTTCATACTGGGAGTCATCTGTGCTTCCCTACTTACCCCTGTGATCTTTACCCACAAAGCTCTTAGCAGATCATTGTAATCGTCTTGAGGAAATGCGTTGGCATACAAAGTGAGTGTCAGAAACACTTAATGTCCCTCCTATTTCTAGACCTCTTTTCTTGCCCCTCCTTTGTCAGGACCCCCCGTGTAATTCTCAACCTTCTCCACATTCTCTGCTGGGAAGGGATCATGGTCTGTTCTTGCCTGGGACATGGGTGCCTCCCTTTTCTCTCACCCAGGATGTAAAGAACTAAAGAATAAAATCCACATCTAATTATCCTTTCTCTGCTCTTCATCCCTTAAGCTGTTCTTTCCTCTTCTCTCTGGCTGGGACTGTCATTGGCTTGGCTTTTTGATCGACATATATACTTGCCTACTCTTAGCATGTGATGGTCCTTCAATGTTGTCCCTTCTTGTGGGCCCCAGATTTATACTGTCACAGTGCTCTTTGTGGCTTCCTCGTAATTCCTTGTTCTTAGGGGGTTTAATTCCTCCATCTTAACCTGGATGCTGCCTGGTGAACGGAATATATACACATTCCACACATTTTGCCATTTGGTGAGAAATGGGCTCAGAGTTCTTCTAAACACAACGTGAACTGTCTCCCAGTAAACCATGGAGATTGTGTGATGGGAAGGCATGTAGGTAATGGGGCTGATAGATGGAATTCTCTTCCTCTGGCTGCTTCCATTTTACTTAATTTGTTTGTCTTAGTTCTATATGTTCATTTGAAAAACAAAACTAAAGCTGCTAAAGCATGGTGTGATACATAATAGAGACATAGTCAGAAGCTCCGAGTCTCTGACCTCAAGGCCTTGCTGTTCCTTCCATACTTATGAAGCTGTTATTGCCTCCAGTGGCCATTGTGGTAGCACTTAAGATTAATCAACTGTGAGTTAGTCACCAGGCCAGCTCCAGTGCCTTGGTTCTTCTAGTCTTACACTATATTTACCTTAATTTTGACCAACTATAAAATATGATCATTGCTATGGAGCATCTTTCCATGTTACCTCAAACAGTTGTGAAGGTAACTGAGCTACCTCTGGGTACCTCTACCTAGGCTTTGCTATTTCAGAGCATCTGTAATTGTTATGAAAATAAGAATGGTGTATACCACACAAGGTTGTTTTGAAGATCAGGTATAACATTCACAATGCACTACACAGTGCCTGGCATATACTAACCGTTCACTAAATGGAGTTGTTACTAACAGCTGCCTCAAAGCAGACAAAGCAGTATAATATTCACTGTTTTCCTGTCGCCCACAGTGTGGTATGATTTTGGCTGATGCCAGTAATACAGTTCAGGGACAGCATCATTTCAGAAACACTTCCATCTAAATCTTCTCTTAAATATGAGATAAAATGCTATGAACCATGACTGTGCTGAGACAGAATTTTATCTACACATGAAGTTCTATAATGGAAAAATATTAAAATGTGTGAGCGTAGATACAATTGTGGACACATGCCCATGACCACATTGATTACACTTAACTTAGCATCACCGTTCTGTTTTCAATTTTAATTTGTATTTGCCCTGGTTTTCGTTGTCTGAATAAACAGTATCCTCTAACTCTTTATCCTATATAACAAAGAATGTGACCTAGTTTGGGCTCATTTTATATAACTATACATGATTAATTAATGTCACTGAAATTTCCGAGTGCTGAAACATTTTTGTTATGAAGAGGAGTCCATGGAACATCAATTTAAATTGTCGGTTGCCAGCATATCCAGTTTAAAAATTAACGGACTATGTAATTCTGGCAGACACTATCTAGGAAATTAATTCTCAAGTAAGTTAAAACTGGAATTCTCAATGGATAACTGCAACCAGAGGAAGCTTTATAATACAAAATTAATACAGCTTTAAAATTATATGTCTAATTTGAGAGATGAAAATAGTTATCAGAAAGAGAAGAAACAAATTCTTCAGTACTGCTTCCAGAAGGGGGTGATTTTTACCCACGACCCCAGGTAGAGCACTCTGTTGCATTAACGTTTCATGATGGACTAGCCAGTTCTACTCCCTGAGAGTCTTAACCAGACCATAAAATTACAGTCAGCTGTGGAGTCTCTTTGTGCTAAGCCCTCAAGACTGGCTAAGGTGCCATTCTATGGGTGGCCACTGACAAAAGGGGGAGATTATTTTATCAAACTTGATTTTTGATTACCTGTGTACAGACGGATCAGCTGTCCTGTAGCAGTGAACAAAAACCTGATCGAAGCCAGGCTATTCGAGACCGGCTGAGAGGCAAAGGATTACCCACAGGTAAGAGCGTGTTGATAGGAACTTTCTAGACCTTAATCTTATTCTCTTGTCTATGAAAATGTGCTTTCTTGCTTAGAAACCCACTCAGTCCCAACTGTGGCTCATGAGAATACAAGGATGCAGAGTGGAAGCCAGGAGCAGAGAAAAACATTGGGCAGTACTAAATAAACATTACAGTTATGTAAAAACCTTAACTATCAGAGATCCCACACATACCTCTGTCCTTTCCAGTGTTTTCTGCAGTGCCGTCATTTGCTTACGTTATCAAGGTGTTTATATTAAAAGTCAGGTGAAACCACAACCAGATGAGCACATACATATGTTTATGAACATTGACACCACTGAACAAGAGCACCAGAGAGCAGTACCTCTCTTACTGCACGCTGGTGTTTTCTAGTTCTCTTTTAATACTAGTCACTAAAATGCTAATCACTAAATTAATTTCATGAGTAAGTATGTCATAATTTGCACTTGTCAAATACTGTCATAAGTTATAGGATGCTTGCTAAATAAAAATGAATGATGATTGGTTATTTGGTAGTAACATGTAATATGGATCTGTAATTATGTAATGGGATTTTTAAATTAATGGATATTTTAAATACTTGAGATAAAAGTAGATGTAAAAATTGGATTAAAAATTTTTTTTGAAACAGGGTTTCTCTGTGTAGCCTTGGCTGTCCTGGAACTCACTCTGTAAACCAGGCTGGCTTTGAATTCACTGAGATCCGCTTCCGCCTCTGCCTCTCCGCCTCCTCTCCTCCTCCTCTCCTCCGCCTCTCCTCCGCCTCTCCTCCGCCTCTCCTCCGCCTCCACCTCCGCCTCCACTCTCCTCCGCCTCTCCTCCGCCTCTCCTCCGCCTCTCCTCCGCCTCTCCGCCTCTCCGCCTCCGCCTCCCAAGTGCTGGGATTAAAGGCATGTGCTACCACTGCCTGGCAGAAATGGGACTTTTTTTTTAAGTGCTAAGAATCAGGCTTGGCTTTTTTATAAGATGAATTTTGGCTTTATAGATTGTATTATTTTCTTTTTACTTCTCATCAAGAATTATTGAAAGTCACAATTACAAACACTCGCAAGAATATTTCGTTTTAAATAAAAATAACAAGTAAAGTAGTGCACTGTATACAGTCCTGGTCCCTTACTTGGGTACTGATCACTTTGTCCGTCTCTTGATTAATATGTGATAATGTTTTTGCTGTAATATTAGTACCTCTAAAAAAAAAAAAAAAAAAAAAAAAAAAACAAGTGTGTACAAATACGACATGTTCTAATGTATGGAGTCTAATAAAGTCAATTAGAAAAATAGCATTTCTAACTTCTAATTTAACCAGACAACCAGCATATACTATCTTATTTAAAAAACAAAACAACAACCTTGTGAGAATTTCGGAGTTCAGAAACCTCTTGGTTAGGTGCAGCCGTGGGGGACTGGCAGGACAGGTGTGTCCATGAGGGGGCTGGCAGGACAAGTGTGTCCATGGGGGATTCTCTTCGGTGCTCCTAGTTGGTAAGATGGCCCTCTTTGTGCTTTGTTTTATTTGCTATAAGTAAATGTTATTATTGTTTATGAAAAAGTATCTTAACTTTTGTTTCAAGATAGTAAATTTTTATTAGATCAAGATTCTTTCTTAATATTATTTTTGTGTGGATAAAAGCTACAAAGTGGGAGAGAAGGGGAGTGGGGAAAATGTATAACTCAATAAAAAAAGTACAAAATGAGGTTTGTCTAACTTAGTTTTTAGAATTCTCTGATGACAAGTGAGGTACTTTTAATCCCTGTCATGTATAGTTTATGAAATTTTAAAGGCTTTGAAATGTTAACACAGTACATTTTATTACCATCAGTATTTCACAGTTTTAATGTTTCTGACACTAATTGTTTTATAGTATTTCAGGGGTAGCAACCAGAGACCCAATTGAATCTAAATCTACTCTGTAGAGTATCCTAACTAGCAGTTTATTTATGTGTTTTTAAATAAGAAATTATGTAAGGTTAGCTTCCTGGACATAAGAAAAACCTGCTGATGATTACGTTCCATTTCTTTTCTAAATATTCAATGAGTATCTGTTGACAGGATGAGCATGAGAAAGAATTTTATCAAAATGTGAGACAGTCAAATATAGTTAGAACCCTGTTTTCATAATACAGCCTTTTAATGTTTTCATAAATAAATATGCTAGACTCCTGTTATTTCACTGATTTTACATCCTGGCTGAGATATGGGTAAAAAGAAAAAGTATCTCACTGCCTGGGCTTGTATTATTTGACCCTTTCCGTAGTGTAACAAAGCATTACAAGCTTGAAAGTGAATTTTAATCCCTTTTATGTATGACTTTGATTTTATACTAAACATCACTCAGTGGCATTGCTTACTAGATCGTTAGAATTATGATGGGTGGACTATTTCGATGCAGGTAATTTTTACAAACCATCAAATCATTAATAGATACTGATTTTATTTTGTAAAAGTTGGATCAGAATACAATCTCTCATCACTCTAAAGTGAAGAGAATTTGTAAAGAATTACAATTTGTCACTCAGGTTAAACCAGTTGTTTTTCTGCTTCCATTTTGGAGTAAAAATAGAATCATGCATTTCTTTCAATCACATTTTAAGTAGAAATTGCAGCCTTGTTTTGGTTGCATATAGTAGAGGATGAATCCTCTGATGTTCTTGGCCAGTGCTCACACAGTAGCAAGGATTTTACAGGAGCCATTTTAAGTTCCTAATTCAGTCTTACAAACCTCAGCAAGGCCGAAGCAATGAAAGTGTGCTAATTAAAGCCCCACAAGCCAGAAGCAATCAGCAGCCAATGGTCCATGGCAAACATTAGCTTCAGAGGTCAAGACTGGAGAACAATTAGCTGTTAAAGAACAGATGCTCTTCTAGGATGCTGATGTTCTTTGGGGCAGCTTGTTCCCTCTCCCTGTAACCCTCCATTGCAGTGAAACATCCTCTGCAGTATTCACCAGTTATAAGTGTCTATAGCTGGTGCTACATTGTATTAGGACCCTGACCAATGTGTTCAATAAAGAAATCAGTAGGACAGGCAGTGCAATACAGAACTGGGTTGAACAAAGCAAGCCCATTTATGGATAATGCCAGTATCTGTTGTTTGTTTGCTAATTTAGTACTGCTTACTGTTTTGTGTGTGAGTAACTGACCTGGAAAGGTGTCTCTTGAATCTTGCTTCTGAAATCTGTCACAAGAGTGAAGTCCTAAACCAGTGGGCTGTCTGCCCATACTTTGTTACTTAATACTGCAAGTACTGATAGCATGGCTTCACTAGGAACACACACAAAAAAACACAAGCATTTCCTGCCAAGTGTTAGGGGAAGCCTACACCACCATCAGATAGGTGGTGATGACTTCAGAAACACGGGAGTGTGCATATGGTTCTGTTTCTGTCTTTTATGTACTTGAGCACATTGTTAAGGACAGCTGGGGACTCAGGAGCTTCCTTTAATAATGAAGTTCCCTTCTCAGAGGTGCTGTGACTTTGAGTCTGTGTGTAAGAGGAAAAAGGTAAATTATAGGATACAAATTAAGGATAATATTAAATCACATATAATAAGAGCTAAGGCATGATGTGCTTTGCAAGGAATTTTTCCCAGTTTAATTGAAATAACCAGAATATACTCCATAAAGACTTTTTATAGTCTTAGACCTTCTTTTGTTTGTCTGTTGAGACAAGTTTTCTCTGTGTAGCCCTGTCTGTCCTGGAACTCACTGATAGACCAGGCTGGCTTCAAAATCAGAGATACACCTGCCTCTGCCTTTCAAGAGCTGGATTAAAGGTGTGTGCCACTTCGCCCTGATCTTTTTAAAGATTTTGTCTTCACTCTATTTATTGCTTCCTACTTGGTTTTAAGCAAACTGCACACTCTGCAGGAGAGTGTTGATGGTTTTGTTGTAAAATTTCATTGCTTATAATTGGTGATAATATGGGTCTGTAAATTGAGCTCAGAGCCTCCTGAAGAGATAGTAAAGTCTACCTTTTATCCTATTTGGAGCAGTGTGATGATCTTCTATTCAAGAATAGAGACCTTCTGGTCTCTGGTTTCATTATTTTCTCTCAAAAAAAAAAAAAAACCTTGTAAATCCCTCTTGGTAAATAATTATATGCCTAGGAAAAAAAACAAGGCAGAATTAGAAAAGAGACAAAATTTAATTTATATCCCCTTAGTTCAGAGGGACTCGGAATAGTTCAGCTGTGCTAGCTCACTTCTGTCATCTAGAAAAGAGGGAATGTTAAATCATTCCCACATGTTGTAGATGGGGGAAACAAGAAACGTGGAGATTGACTGGCTGGCATAAGCTTATGGATTGATTAGGAAGACAGAATCTCTTGATAGTAGTCTTCTTTCTAAGTGATGCTGCCTAAACTGGAGTTTAAACGTTTTATAATCAAGTTACAACCATCGTTCTTTTGGAAGCTATCTTATAAGAAATTATAGGTATAAAACAAATAAGACACAATGTCTTATTGTTCTGCTTAGGAGTAAGGGTATGGAAAAACTTTATGGAAGTGACTAAATAAGGTGAGATAGTGTATAAATTTAACAGCGAAACAAGTGTCCTAATGTGGTCTAGTGTGCTCTGCTAGTACAGTAGAAGGAGTGTGTTAGGATGGGGAACTTTCATTGTTTCTTCCACGTCAGAAGCTCACAAGCAGCCCCATCAAGTGTTTCATCATTGTTTTCATCAAGTGTTGCCTTCACTGCCTGGCAGTGGTCACAGCTGTCATGCAATTGTATTTATTGCTTACTGGGTAAAATAATTCAAATAGCTTGCACAAATGTTTAGAACTATGGGGAAAGCAGTCAAATAGTATACATTTTGTTTAGTCTCAAGTACAAATGATTAAATGGCACACACTGCTGTTATCAACACATGCTCTTTGGCCAGCAGATTCAAGCATCCAATCAGCACTAGCCTTGGATGCAATGTTTCTTTTCGACAATATGGCTAGGTTCTATATTTGAACTCCCTTTTTAAG